GGAATAGAGTTTATCAAAAAATTATTGCATGCGGCACACTGTTGACATTTCCCGTACTGTATCATTCACCGCTATTTCTAACCGATGATTACCACAATGCCAAACAATCAATTGAGGGTACATTTGGAGCAAAAGTTGTGCAACACCTGCATGCCTTCCAAGTAAATTAGAGGCCCCATCACAAGCAAATGAAATACAATTTCATGATAAAAAGTCACTGTGAAATCCGTTACTCTTGATATTGTTGAGAAAGGTGTCCCTGAACGTTGCAGCTGTAGTATTTTCTAATTCCACTATATCAAAAAATTAACTACTTGCATCCATGGAATCAGGCAGTTTACAATGTAAACAGATTACAAGAGCTTCTTTTTTACTTCGAGTAGAAGTCTCATCGATCATGAAACCTATCTTAAGATCATTATCAATAATATATTTAACAAGTTTCTTTCTCATTTCATCTGCTATATGATCACAAGTATCATTGCACGCATGATTAGACTGCAAGATACACCTCATAGCTAAATCATTTAGTTCTTGTAAATCAATCAAAGCNCCAATCAAAGCTGCTAAATTTGTCATGGGACGGTTCACTTTCGCTATTTGATAAGCTGTCCTAAATATTGACGAGTTGTAACGTATTGTTTTTCTTGTGTTTTAACATTCAGACATTCAATTGTTTCTTTTTTAGCAGGGCATTAAATGTCACTAGCTTTAATATGAGCTGCTGATAGTTTATGACAAGACAGTTTCTTCCTAATCAACTGTTGTTTCTTCTCTTTTGGTTCACCATATTCCTTGACCCTACTTTCACACCACTCACTAGATAATTTCAAACCTTGTGTTTTTGCAGGCCCTAGAGTTCCCACTGATTTACATGTTGTACAGCCTAGCCCTTGTTTACTAATTGTCAACCACTCGTATATTTTCAATTTTTCTAGCCATTGATCTTGTGTCCAGTAATTAGGGAAATAATTAACGTCATTTTCATGCACCTGATTTTGAGTCACGCTGTTATCTATTGCAGCTGTATTCACACATACAGTGGTTTCGTCTTCATTGCAGTGGATGGAACTTACAATTGTTTCACTTTTACTTACAGTTGCACACGGTTCATTACTGCCACTTTCACTTAACTTGGGTTTCTTACTGTGAATTATCCATTTCTCCATTTTCACCGATAAATGGAAACTGATGCTGAACTAAAATAACATTTTGTACAGTTTCTGTCATTGAAGCAAGGATCAACCCAAGAACCCCCCCCCCTACTAAAATTTCTGGCTAAATTCCCATTGGTTGGAATAGAATAAAATATGTGTCATATGTGGGACGTGTCATCAACAATAGAAACTTTTGTGATTATTTACTGTAAATGTCTGGCCCATCGCTTAAATGGGATGGGTTCTCACATTATTCTACAAGTTTATATATGTATTATCGGATGTGAGAATACAGCCTGTACCCGTCATAACTGTATTTGTAGTTTGCCGACTATGCTATTTCAACACCAAATTTATTTCTGTCCAATGAAGTAGGAGGGAGTAGGAAATGTGTACCTCATTTTCTGCCAAGATATCGTGTTTTCATTTTCAGTAAAATAACTAAGAATTCAGACGTGACATCAACATAGAAAAACTTAAAATTTTGTTGTAAACAACTGTTCTGTTGGAGACAGGCCACCTCCGCATTGGGATGGGGTAGGATGCAAGGCAAGAGAAGGGCAAACTGTTGCCGACATTGTATAATTTATTATCAGTCTCAAGAATACGAAAATGAATCTTTCCTTAACCTTTAACCGCCGGAGTTTTGAAACACAGGTAAAGCTAGCTGACCGGGGTTTATTTAAATGTCCGCTGCTTGCAGGGGTTTAAATCCACGTTTCTGCTCTACGTTTAAATGCCAGTTCCACTTAGAGTGCTTGAGCGTTGTACTTGGAATTGCTCTATCTAATACAATTTTTATGATAAATGAATGGAATTAACTAAAAAATTCTTCACACAGCAGTTCCACAGTATAAAATTTTTCCGCTCCTACACACAACAGTTCCGCAGTATAAAATCTTTCCTGTTTGTAACACTTGGGCTTGTTAGCAGAAACCCCATGCCACAAAAGTGTGCTGGCCATAAGCCTATATATTTCTATCTTCACAAGTTTCTCAGCTTATCACACTTAATCCATATAGTGGTCATTATGTATATAAAATGTTATTAAAATTATTAAACTGTTAGAATATATATGGATTATCGCATTATGTTTCGGCCATATAAGGCCATCCTCAGGCAACACTTTTACAATGAGTCTAATGCCCTGCGCACTAATTGAATATCATTCTTTCCGTTACGTCATTGGTGTTTTCTTCTTCATATCTTTTTTGAAATCCGGCTGTTTCTGTATTTCATTGGTGTGTTGTTTCCTTGGTTATGCATATCAAGTGTCCCTTTGCAAAGGGACACTTAATACAGAGAACTCTGCTGACTGAGAACAGATGGCACTATAATTAAGTTGACAGTTTAGCTGTGGAGTGTTAA